AAAATCTACAAAATACTGCAAAACCTCAACAACAAAAAGACAAATAACCCAATTAAAAAATGGGAAAAGGATGTGAACAGGCACTTCACCAAAGAAGATATTCAGGCAGCTAACAGAAACATGAAGAAATGCTCACAATCATTAGCCATTAGAGAAATGCAAATCAAAACTACAATGAGATATCTCACCCAATAAGGCTAGCATTAATCAAAAAAACATTAAATAATAAATGTTGAAGAGGTTGTGGAGAGACTGGAATACTTATACACTGTTGGTGGGAATGCAAAATGGTACAACCACTTTGGAAATCGATTTGGTGCTTCCTTAAAAAGCTAGAAATAGAAATACCATATGATCCAGCAATCTCACTCCTTGGAATATATCCTAGAGAAATAAGAGCTGTCACATGAATAGACATATGCACACCCATGTCCATTGCAGCACTGTTCACGATAACAAAAAGATGGAAACAACCTAGGTGCCCATCAACAGACGAATGGATAAACAAATTATGGTATATTCACACAATGGAATACTACGCAATGATAAAAAAAGAATAACAACGAAGCTATGAAATATAATATGGAGGAGTCTGGAAGGCATTATGCTGAGTGAATTTAGTCAGTCACAGAAGGACAAATATTGTATAAGACCACTATTATAAGAACTCAAGAAAAGTTTTAAACACAGAAGAAAACGTTCTTTGATGGTTACAAGGGTGGGGCGGGAGAGTGAGGGTTATTCATTAACTAGAGAGTAGACAAGAATTATCTTAGATGAAGGGAAGGACAGCACACATTACAGGGGAAGTCAGCACAGTGGACTAAAGAAAGCTAAGAAGTTTCCTGAATACCATCTAACACTTTGAGGGACAGAGTAGCAGAGGTGGGGGTCTGAGGACCATGATTTCAGGGGCCATCTAGGTCAACTGGCATAAAAAAGTTGATTAAGAAAATGTTCTGCATCCTACTTTGGTGAGTGGCATCTGGAGTCTTAAAAGCTTGCAAGCAGCCATCTAAGATGAATCA